CGTATTAGCGGCGCGAAATTGTCTACTTTAATGCATTCGAATGCCTTATTGTGTCGCATGAATCTAACTTATGAGAACTTCTTAATAGATTAGAAGGACCTGCGGAGGTCCAAAATTTCTTCCTGGGTACTCTGCTGTCTGATGAAGATTTTGTGAAGTTGATGGCCGTTTGAACGAGATGCAACCCCTATAGGCGTTTCGGAGGAAATAAAAACTATTGTGAACAGGACACCGAAGATCAAGGTCCAGGCGACTGGCATCTTGGTATTTGTTGTTGTTTGAATAATTGAATGAAAAGGTGATTATATTCAGTTATTATATTGAGAGTTATCTGACATGGTCTTCAGCAAATACAATGTACGAAATGTTTAGGTGTTAAATAGAACGAAGAAAGAACGAAATGTCACTGTTTATAGAAAAAAAATTATTTTAAAATCTGCTTAATTTACATTCTTTTAATAAATTATCAAATGTTGGTTGAACGTTTAGCGTTTCACATCCACCCAGATAATCGCCCATAAATTCGTGGGGGTTCTTCAATATTCCTTTTACCACGTGATATCATTATTTTAATTAGATCGACAGGATCTGTTATTAATAAACTATCTGCTAATCGTTTGTATATACATCGAATATCATGATGTACGTTTGTATATACGTCGAATATCATGATATGAAGTTTCAGGAATATAGGGTGTCCAGTAAGTCACTGGACGACTTTTGATTACGAATAACTTTTGATAGAAACAAGATAGAGACCTGCGGTTTTCGCCATTCGAAAGAGGAGACTTGGAGGCATGTTCTCATAACCAACATTATTTTCAGAAGAGTTTTCTGAAACAGGTTTTCTAGGAGATCTTTGGAAAACTAGACCGTCTGCAAAGATTTTTCAATAGGATTGTGTTGCTTTTTTCTCATGAGCTGATAGTTCGGAGTAAGCTCTCCAAAATGGGGGTAAAGTGAGACCTTGATTTTCCATGGTTCGGGCGTTGTATTGGATTTCCTACGAGTCCCAGAACCGGCACCCGGCAACTATTGGTAGCCTTAAAGACTGATGGACTATGGGTAACCGACCATGCTGAGTTTTGTAGCAATATTTATTTTTAGAAAAGTTCTAAAAGTCTACCGAAAAGCCAGTTTTACGAAAATTAGAGTTTCCAGGCTGTTTTCACCTAATATTAAAAAATTCACTGTTCACTCAAAAAACATCAGAACGAGTTCAGAACTTCAGAATGTAGAGTATTTAAGCTATTCTATATCCTATTCATAGGAGATCTCGAAGCAAATTTTACAGAACCCTCAGGTTTTCCAAAAGGGTTTCTGGAAAACCTATTAAACAAAAAAATGTTTTTCGATTTTTTTGATCTTATAATCACGTTTAGCCGACAACATTAATCGTATCTTGAGATTTTGAGCTTGTTCTGATGTTTTTTGAGTGAACAGTGAATTTTTTAATATTAGGTGAAAACAGCCTGGAAACTCTAATTTTCGTAAAACTGGCTTTTCGGTAGACTTTTAGAACTTTTTCTAAAAATAAATATTGCCACAAAACTCAGCATGGTCGATTACCCATAGTCCATCAGTCTTTAAGGCTACCAATAGTTGCCGGGTGCCGGTTCTGGGACTCGTAGGAAATCCAATACAACGCCCGAACCATGGAAAATCAAGGTCTCACTTTACCCCCATTTTGGAGAGCTTACTCCGAACTATCAGCTCATGAGAAAAAAGCAACACAATCCTATTGAAAAATCTTTGCAGACGGTCTAGTTTTCCAAAGATCTCCTAGAAAACCTGTTTCAGAAAACTCTTCTGAAAATAATGTTGGTTATGAGAACATGCCTCCAAGTCTCCTCTTTCGAATGGCGAAAACCGCAGGTCTCTATCTTGTTTCTATCAAAAGTTATTCGTAATCAAAAGTCGTCCAGTGACTCACTGGACACCCTATACCAGCTATATCAGGACTATTTTCACGTAATGATACTAATAATGCTTGATTTAATGGGTCAATACGCACATTACAGGAACGAAATTCTTTAGCCAAACCATCTTTTAATGGTGTGGATATACTGAAACATAATTTTTTATATTGCGTTTCATATAGTAATTCTTTAACATTTGTTAATTCTTATTTAACCGTTTGTAATTGTCCTTCAACGTTATCTAAACGTTCACATATCACACAATGATCGAATATAATAGATTCCAAAATACGACGTAGACCCATGATTGCTTCAAATCGTTCATATTCACTTCGATCAATTAATGGTGATAGATTTTCATTATTCGGTAACAATAGATCAACCAACCAACCATGAGCATCATCAATCGATTGTAAGTGCGATCGAGCCATCGGCGTATACTTTTCAAGAATATATATAAATGTTTTCCATCGATCACCGTTATTCCTACGTGGCATATTCATCAAACTTTGTAATTCAATTAAAAGATTTTGCCGGTCATAAGACATCATGATTGATTGCTATATCAGAAATCTAAATAAACAGAAAAGAAGCATTCAGTGTGTTTCATTTCCTATTTCTTTGTTTTTTACGTGGGGCCACTTTTATAAAAAAAACTTAAGTGGAAAAATGATTTAAGTCTCGCTTAAATCAAAAGAAGGCAACAAATGCGTTGTATAAAAAAGCTTAAGTCAGATTTTGACTTAAGATATGCTTAGTTTCTTGCTTAACTTAAATCACCTATTTAGGTCACTTAAGTCAATAAGTTGTGCTTATCGGGTTGTGCATAAGTTTTGCAATAAATGTTGATCACAATTTCTCCATGTTTCCAATATTTTGGAGACTTCGCTTTTTTTTTGTTTGGAAGAACAAAGTCTAAACTACAAAACGTGTATCAAACAAAATTTTCTCTCGCAAAACTTCATTGAGAAAAAATTAAAAAACTAAACATCACTAAAAATGCTCTGGTAAAATTTTACTAAAACATATCAAGAAAATCTTCAGTTCTTCATATCAAAAATAATCAGTTTTTACTGGAATCAAATACATGAAAAAACAGCCTGTGAAAAATTCTATCGATCTGATTCCCTTAGAAAGTTTTCAAGTTACTTTTTAGTGGTTTTCTGAAACTGTTTCTAAAAGTCAGATTTTCTGAAAATCGAAGTTTTGCATCTAACCCTTAGGGCTGTCAGCAAAGCCGTCACACGAAGCAGGAAGTAAATGGGATTAGATTTCATTTTTACATCAGATTGTAGAAAATTGAATGGAGATCAACATTTAGTTGAACAATTGGAAAAAAATTCATCCATTAATTCAAGAATTCGAAATCAATGCTAACTATTTCGAAAGAGCGTTTCAAACACTCTTAGGTGTAATAATCAGACATTCTTCAAACTTATCCTTGTATGAGAAAAGAACCGTTTCGAAGAAGATCGAGAGTGGACATTTTGACAATTTACCAGAGCATTTTTAGTGATGTTTAGTTTTTTAATTTTTTCTCAATGAAGTTTTCCGAGAGAAAATTTTGTTTGATACACGTTTTGTAGTTTAAACTTTGTTCTTCCAAACAAAAAAAAAGCGAAGTCTCCAGGATATTAGAAACATGGAGAAACTGTGATCAACATTTATTGCAAAACTTATGCACAACCCGTTATTTGTATAAAAACGTGTGCTCATTTCTCAAAGTAATAAACTTTAAAAGACTTATAGTGGCACTAGCACCAAGAGGACTGAGAAGAGAAAGAGTTTCAAAGATAGATAAAATCCATTGGAAACAATGACAGATGACATGATTTTGGCAAGATACAGATTTCCAAGAGCGGCTATTACAAATGTGTTACAACTAGTTGAACCACAGATAGCTCGACGGTACTTCTACACCACAATCACATTCCTATCTAGCGACTGATTATATTAGCTATATAACAGAACAAGAAAAAAAACTATTGGTTGAAAAATATATATTATTTAGTCATAAAAAACGAAGAAAACAATAGAAAACATAATGGAAGAAAAACAATAAGAAATATAGAAAGATAAACCAAAACAAAAAGTACAAAACTTTAACTTACTTCAGTCGGACACAGTTCTTTAATTTGTTTCACCAGATTTTCAAAAGGCCGGTCCCCAAATTTTCGTCGCCACATGAATTCCGTAAGATATGTTTGTAGGAGTGTTACCGACATACCCATCATACTCTTTTTTTTTCTTTTCGCACACTTCCACATATTTTCTAGTATCTAGGATCTTCTTACAAACGAATTATCTGTCTGACTGTCACACTATGGCGGTAGGTATTTTATGGATCGTTCTATGAGAATCTAACAGTTTTGGAAGGAGGTGAGAAAGGACACAAAATCAGAGTAAATGAGAGAAAAACTCGACAATATTTTGCGACAAAATAAGCTAAGCATACATAATACTATTCTTTTCTCAGTTTTATAGGTGACGCTAGTGAACGGTGCTACTAATATCTTTTGAAAAGACGAAAAACTAACTTATTACGATTGAGTGAGAATGTCAAATGGGTAATCGAGCATGCAGAATTAATTGGAACCGTTCTCGGGTGGCCGAGGGATGAGTAGGATTTAGCTAGAGGGGTATATCCATTCAGGTCCGTCCACTTTATACAGACATAATAGCCCCAAAACTTTCAACACTTTGTGATAATTCTCAGGCGCTTATAGAGACATAGAACATATACATAGAACATTACATAGAACAAGAGAAGTCTGTAGTTCATATAGCTAACCGATAGAGTTTAATAGATCAATCTTCGACGGTTATTTACATATAAAGCAAGTGAAAACAAGAAAAAATATCCGTGGAATCAACGAAAAAAGCCGGAAAAAAGTCCAAGTGGATCTGGCCAACAAAATTTTTCTTTATACCGTTCATTTTATTAATACAACCCCACAAATTAGAGCACAATAACAAAAAATGTAGTTTTTTACATTAAAAACGACAAACAGCTCACATGTCGGGTATGAATATATATTCACCAATTTTGCTAAAGCAAAAAGAAACTAACAATAATGTTCATTCAGCAGTTCTAATTTGAATCTAAGCACTAAATTTAAGGAGCTTTGCATTACAATCCTACTATCAGTTAAAGCATTAAAGTAGTAGATTAAACTCACCTTTTATCAGACGTAAAAGCGTTGATCATCGTATTGCCTCTTTTCGTTCAAATAGTGAACCATATTTTTCCACATACAAAGGATCGGATGATTTGACATTTTGTATAACAATGTGCATAAAATTCAGCCTTCAATCATGCTGTAATGTTTTATTCAGATGCATATAACATGCAAAAAAGTATTTTATCCATTCAAGATGACCAGTAAATAATTATCGCCAACTAATTACGTTATATTCTATTAGAAAGAAAAAGAGAAAAGTTTTCGTTTATATGATTTATCACTCTTTACTTTTAAATTTACCAAAATGCTATAGAATGAAATGACTTGAAATGAGAAGAACCAGATTTTCTCTTATAGAAATAAAATTGTGTCTGTAGTATAAATTTTCTTTAAATAAGTAAATAGATATTAAAGATCCTGTGCTAACTAGAGCATATATCTAAGTACTACTGCCAGTTCTTATTAGCAAAAAGATCGCTAACTATGAATAACCTATGATGTTCACTGAGAATCTGATATCTGTTCATATCATCAGACCTTTTTGGATAAGTCTTCGAACTATCAGGGGCGCCCCGATACCTCGGAGGCAGGGGGGGGGGGGGCGAAAAAAAATTTGGGGTTAATTTTTTTTGGTTTTAAAA